GCTATCGCATGCCAATTGTTAAAGATAGTCATCGTTCCTCTGCTTATTTGTAATGGGAAATGGAGTTAAGTCTGGGACTGAACAATTTGCATTTATTATTGTGTCCTTCATTCTCAGGGCACTTTACAGAAACCGAGCCAGATATCAAGCAGGAGGGATGGGGAAAGGGGTGAGAGAGAAGGAAAGGTGACTGCAGGCATGGTTGAAAAGATAGATATTTAGGTGGCTTTTAAAGACTGATAGCAAGAACTATTTTGCAGATGAACGTTTACCTGCTTTACCCAATCATGGTGTATGAGTCCTCCTTCCTTTGATAATTTCCCCCTTAAATGCACTGCACAACCTCTGCCCTCCTTGACAATTGCTGTCCTTGAGACGTTCTTGCTCTAACTATCCCTGCATCCAACATTTTTGCCCATTATTGACCCCTCCCCAACTCACCGTCTTTTGCCAGATAATGGCTTGTTCCCAATACCCTGAACTTGAGGTCTATTCCATTCTCATAACCGGCTTCAGAGAGCACCCCCCCCCCCCCCCACTAGCACCAGCATCATCTATATCATTGCAAAATCAGTCAGGCATTCACCCTGCATGCTCTCCCATTAGCAACCTTCATTTAGTCCACTGTGGAGAAGCTTTAACATGGTCAATAACATTGATTTGGTGTTCTGCTCAAAGGCAGGTTAGGTCGCACGCAATACATCAAGGTCTGGAGTTTAATTCAATGTAAGCTGGGTATAAATTAGCCTCCCTTCCCCCCACACGTTCACATCCACCCCCACCTGTACTAATGGAAGCACGGTGGCTTTGGTCCAAGCAGTTTAAACATAGAGTTGCCTATAAATTCAAGCCAAAAGTTAGGCAGTGTAAAATCACCATATAAGAAGTTTGAGAACTTTAATCCATTAAAATCTTAACGATCTGAGCATCACAACAGTGACTTGCATTTGCTGAATGGTGGAATATGAAGTCTTGAACTCATTAAAATAACGAGACTCGGCAGGTCTGTCCTCTCTTAGCATAGAAAACACGGCCGAATATCAACATCTCTAATAAACATCCCTCGCACTGACCTGCCTAGGTCCCGAGTTCACTTAGTCACTCATGCTGGAACTGAATTAAATTAGAGCATTTTATTATATGGTTCATATTCAGAAAGATGACTGATGGATGTGCTGGACTAAGAATACTTAAAAGTGCTGGGTAATGCAAATAAGCAGTAAGTTTTGCTTAGGTTGGCATCCTCGGTGATTTGGAACAGACATTCTGTGAGACAGAGAGCAAGGATTGTGTACACTAGAATTCAATATTTAAATAAGGAATGTACTGGCTCTGCAACTGGCTGCATTTCAGTTGCTGAGAATATAAAGACCTTAATGTGCAAGTCTGTAAGTATATTGTAACTTGAATGGCATTGTGTAACTTCTTGACTCAAGAAAACATGTGAATTTTGTGTGGTTGTGTTTTATCGGTCGTATCATAGGAACCACAGAAATTGTTTTAATCAGAGAGTTGTTACGGTCTGGAATGCACTGCCTGAAAAGGTGGTGGAAGCAGATTCGATAATAGCTTTCAGGAGGGAATTGGACAGGTAATTGAAAAAGAAAAAAACGCAGGGCTATGGGGTAGGAGCAGGGGTGTGGGGCTGGTTGTCAGTTCTTTCAGAGAGCCGGCACAGGCATGATGGGCCAAATGGCCTCCTTCTGTGTTGTAAATAGAAGAATACCTACGTCTCACGACGTACCTCTTTGAACAGCTTTCGGTCATCTTTCCTCTTCCCCACTGCCTTTAGCTGCCATCCATGGCTCGGGGGCCCAGGCAAAGCTTTGAGACATCCTACAAACGCAATGGCGCTGTATAAATAAATGTAAATTGTATTGCATTGAACCTTTACGGTGGATCTATGGAGAGGACAAAGGGTTAATGAATTCCAAGTTGATTTTTCACAGTTTATTTTGCTGATAACCACACACGGAGTACAAACAAAACAAACTATACAGTGTTCAGACAATATCCTTCAGCTTATTTCAGTATTAATTATTCTGACGTTTGTTCGAAAGTTTCACCTTGAGATAAAGTTCACCTCCTGAAATATTAATGTAGTATTTTTGTGTGTCTAACCGGCGACTTGTACATTTCGCTTGAGAAAACCTAAGATGTGCAGTGTTTAAGCACATCCAATCTCATCAAAAACATGAATATCTTCTGTTTTATATGGTTCTCGATTTTTTAATTTTCCTTTTTTAAAAAAAAACCCAAACTCCAAACATTGCTAACACAGAAGCAAATGTCTGATATTTCTTCTTATTCCTAGTAAAATAAATAGCCATAATTTCAGACAGGAGTAGATTGTTGGCCCATTAGCCGACCTATATAAATCTCCACAGAATTCCTTCACTGTAATCTTTCCTTTTGATGTCACCCTATCCCTGCGGGGAGAAAAAAACGTTGATTTACTCAGCCTTCCAGATCATTCCTTGCAGTGCGAGGCACTCCGAGACGCTACCCTGCGCGAAGGTCGCTGCACAAATACAAGTTGTCGTCGTTGTTGCCCCAAATTTGGCACATTTCTTAAATGCAGTCTTAGTTTTGAATTTCTATAGGTTTACAGAAAACCCAGTTGCAAAGTTAAGACTGAATTCAACAATTTGGCAAATTATGGATGTTCTAAAATGTGAGATAAATAGACCAAGGTGAAATTCCTAGCACCAAGTTTCTTTTTGAAACTCTTATTCCACCTGTGTTGGTGTACTTCCTATTCTCTTTTCGCAATTTCTGATTATGTAATTATTTGGAGCAATTTCATATATGCCTGAGACACATCTGAATCCAAATTTTCCAAACCATTTCAGAACCTTAAACATCTTGATCAAAGTCTCTCTTTCAGCCTTCCACATTCGTATTGTGATCCTATTTCTTCAACAACATTAGCCTCGAGACTGAGTTTGCTTCCTGAAATATTATTGTCTGATTTTGTGCACTTAGTGGATGACTTGTATATTTTGCTTGAGAAATTAAGATATAAATGGAACATTCTACGCTACATCTTAATAGCTGACTGTAGTTTGCGTGGTGTAGTGAGCCAACAGAGTGTTAAGGATGAATGCACAAACTCCATTAAGTCCCAGTCATTCCAGGCTCATCACACGAACACATGAAATTGTACATTTGTATGTTCTGAGCTGTAGTATTTAAGAGACATGAGTTTCTTTTTATTTTCTTTGTATGAGATAGTCACAATAGCTTGGGAACAAAATAAGATGGTTGTTTTTTTCTTTAACTTTTTTTCTTACCTGCAGATCAGCTTACAGCATCCTAAGAGTCTAGAATTACCAAGAACACTACAGCACGGAAACAGTCCATTCGGCCCCACTAGTTCATGCTGGTATATATACTCCATAGGTATATATATACTCCATTTATATATATATATATATACTCCATAGGAGCCTTCATCCCTTCGAATCCCCTTAATTCCCTGCTCCCTCAAGTGTGCATTGAGATTCCACTTAAGTACGTTAATATACGTGACTTAATATAGTTAGTATTAAAAAGCTATGGGTGAAAAATGTTGACACAACTCCTTTAGTAACAAAGTTCCTTCAGTGAATTGTAAAACAGAAAACCTAGATCACAAGATTGTTTTGGATGAAAAAGGCCCTTTGGTCTGATCTCATCCTTGCAGAACACTCACCCTTAACCACCCTAGGATCAAGCTGCTTTTTTTAAAATGAGCCTAGTGCCCTGTCCTCTGTATGAATCTTACTTTAGAAAATCACAACACCCAACGAAACACAATCACAATGATCCTCATGAATGATTTCAGTTTTTTTCTTGAACAGAAATCAAACGTAGGAAGCAGGAGCAGAAACCCAAACCGCATGCTCTTCATATAGACGCACAGTTTTGATACATCGCAGTTTTAAATTAAAGTTACAAATGTGCTTAAAACAGAAAACAACACACTCCTGGCTCAGTACTGTGGGCAAACCTGAGCGAGTGAGCGTTTGTCCAAGAAAAGAGCAATAAATTCTATTTATTCAAAAGCTCAAGCAAATATTCAGACAGATAATTGATTGTGTGACATACCCAGACACCAGTACTGTATATTGGTCTATGTTAAGAAGTGTGGTCATTGAAATACTGATTTCCCCTCCCCACCTTTCCCCACAGTGATTAATTACGGGTTTTCACACTCAAATAATTATTAGTTGTGACTGTAGGACAAAGGCCAGATGGTTTTATTTTCGACACAAAGCTCTGCATTGGTAACGTGGTAAGCACTTCACATCTATGGAGTAAGAATAATCCTTGCAATTAATATTCTGCCTACAAAAAAATACAGTCACTATACTTTACGGTAAATGCTTTGAGACATCCTCCTGGTGTGAAAGGCACAATATCGATGCAAGGATTATTAGTATTATTATAATTTATTAGTCGTAGATATATATATTGCTCAGTTCTAAGAAGCCGAAGTTGTATCCAGACAAAATATGTAATAATGTCTGTAAGGTAATCTTACTGGGGCAAACTGATGGATATTAGTCATGTTCTGAATGCGTATGTTTCACCAAAAATAAATCGAATTTTCTAGTGAGTAATGAAGAGCTGGAATAGGAAGTACTGTATGGGGAATCTGTCAAAAAAACACATTTCATCAATCGAGGAATCCATCATGCATAGTGACTCCACAAAACCAGTGAGAGGACGAAAGGAGTATTTACAACATGCAGTATTGTTAATTCCCAGCTCTGCTTGCGGACACGCTCTGTGGAAAGAATATCAATGTTGGGTTTGTGACGATCGGCAAGTGCTGAGATCGACCCGATTATTTTATTACCAGTCAGTGGCCGAGTCGAAATATAGCATCTATTGCCCCTTTTGAGAGTCATCAGGATGTCCTCCTGACGCGAAAGGCGCTATACAAATGTAATTTGTCGTTGTTGTTTTTGTTTCCCACCCCCACACCACCACCCCCCCACCACCCCCACGTTGGCTCAAATCATTTTCATGTTGAACTTCCTTGACCCTCCTTGCCCGCCACTGACGGCTGCCCCATCGACCTTGCGGAAGGAGTATTCAATGGACAGGTTATTCTTGTGGTGTCCTCTGCCTCTGCTCCACACAAAGAGGAGCAGGAAACAAAAGAGGACCACACCCAGGAAGGTGATGCAACCCATCGCGGTGGACACCAGGATGGTTTTAAGGTCGAGTGTGAATTTCAGGAAGACCTGAGTGTCGTTGAAGGACGTCTCATTGAATTCCGCAAAGTACAAAGTTCTGTTGGTGTACAGGGCCCCATCTGCGGGGTAACTCTTCACAGTCAGGATGGCAAAATAGGTGTCGTTGCCTCCGGCATTGCTTGCAATGCAGATGTAGTTCCCGCTGTCTTGAATCTGCACGAAGCGGATCTCCAGGGTGCCCCCGTTAAGCACGGACATCCGACCGATGCTTTTGCTTGTGATCATCCTGCGCTGAGGAGAGATCCACATGACAACGGGAACCGGCACACCGTCAGCCGGGCAAACAAAATAGATGGTTTGTCCTTCGCTGGCCGTGATGTGCTGCAATTTCCTGTCCCTTATCTTGGGCTTTTGGCAGATGAAGTACTCGTGCAGGGCAGACTCAGCGAACGCTTTGAGCTCGGTGCCCTGAATGTCTGGCGGGGTGGCGCAGACCGGCTGCCGGCCGTCGAAGCTCAGCTCGTTCCTCCTCCGCAACAGCCAGAGCAGGCGGCAGTCGCAGGAGAGGGGGTTGTTGTCCAAGCGGAGCACCTCTAAGCTGCTCGCAAACTGGAAAGAGCCTTCCTCCAGGGTGACCAAGTAGTTGTTGGAAACGTTCAACACTTTCAGTTGCCTCAGTCCCAGAAAGGCTTGCGGTTCTATCGTGGCCAGCAGAGTGCTGACCATGTGTAACTCTTGGAGTCGGATTAAGTCACGGAACGAGCCAGTGTCAATTGACGTGATGGGGTTGTAGGACAAGTTAAGGAATCGGAGATAGACCATGTTCCTGAAGGCTCCAGCAGGTACCGAGGAAAGGTTGGTGCTGGTTATGGAAAGCAACGTGAGGTTTAGTCCGTACAGTGTCGTTGCGCTGATGGTCTCCAGTAGTGGCCAGTACGCAATCTCCAGTTCCTTCAGGTTGTACAGCTTGCGGAAGTTCTGCTCCTCCAGGAAGCTAATACTGAGATAGCGCAGCCTGAGGGTGACCAGATTTTGCAGGTAGGACAGGGCTTCTGCGGAAATGGACGTCAGGTTGCACTTCTCAATGGTGAGCCGTTCGAGACCCAGCAAGCCACTGAACGCCCGCTGTGAGATATAGACCAGGTCATTGTCGCCGACTTCCAGGTGCTTAAGATTCCTCAAATCCTGGAACATATAGTCCAACAGAATCACGATTTTGTTCTCACTCAGATCCAGGCGTGTTAAGTTGGTGAGCCTGGTGAACACGCCAGCCGGGATGAGTTTCAGCTGGTTGCTATGCAGCCGCAAGGAACGCAAGTTGAACAAATTGTTGAAAGCCCCCGGTTCGATGTTTGTGATCACGTTTTCGCTGAGATCAATCTCTTCCAAAAGGGGATAGGCTGCCAAATCCCGGCGCTAATGGATCGGAGTTTATTTTTGCTCAGGTCGAGGATCTTGGTTTCGGTGGGAATGCCTTCCGGGATTTCGGTCAGACGCTTTCTGTAGCAGACCACTGACTTGATCTGGGCGGCACACTCACATCGAGCTGGGCAACCCACGGTCGATCGCGTAATGAGAACCATCAAACTCAGACCCAGGAACTGTTGCCAGCACAGTGACATTGTGTAGAGCATGATGTGACTAATGCAGTCTATCATTCTCCCATGCACCTGCGTTACAAAAGATAAAACCCATTAGGAAAAGTAAACCAGTCATCAATAATAGGGGAAGCTGTCAAAATCCCACATCTGTAACTAAATGTCTACATAGCTGGACCCCCAAGCCTTGTTATGTGTTCCTGACACAAGTGGGGCCCATTATATACAATGCACACTACAGAATTACATATCTATAGCGCCTTTCATGTCAGAGGACATCCCAAGGCGTTGGACAATCGAGGATTTGGACATGAGCCGGGGGGAGGGAATCAGGGAGGGTGGAGGGTAGGAGGGTGTCCGAAGGCGCGGTCAAAGAGGAAGATCTTGAGACGTGCCTTGAAGGAGGAAAGGGAGGCAATTATATAACACGACTATGCTTATAACACCATCACACTGTGGAAAAGTGATTCCAACAACAAAAATGCAAGTAAGCCTGTAATAAATAAGGAATATGTTATACTGAGGTCCAATGGTAAGGATGGAGGGGGGGGTTTGTGATGTGATAATTATCATCAGAGTCCCTCTGCCTTGCCTACTCCCTCTGCGCCTTCAAAACCTGCCTTAAGACCTGGCTTTTGAGCTTGCATTTAACTGCGTTCATCAACCCCCCACGCCCACAGCTCCCGCCATCCAAGTTCAGGCTCCCAGTTTGCTGTGTGAAGCGCTTTGAGATGTCCATTCCCTTCTCCCCCACTACCCCAAACTCTCCACGTGAATGGCGAAAGGCACTGCATGCACGTTGCTGTTTTTAAGATTTAATTTAGAATTGCTTCATTCCAACTTAGTCTTTCCTGTTGAGCAATGAAATTAAGTTAACCCAACAACGACGACAACAACTCGCACTTATAAAGCGCCCTTCACGTGGGGTAGAGTCTCGGAGAGCTTAATTAGAAAATGGCAAACTGGAACACTGCAGACAATAAAGCAATGTCTCTGGCAAAAAAAAAATCGTTAAAACCAAAAGCTGTCATTATACAGGAGCCCTGGCACTCAATCTCATCACATTCCAGCAGATGCATCACTTCCTTGGGCTTTTGTCAGTCATCCTTTCTTTATGCTGAACAGCTCTGAAGCTGAAGCATGAAATACGAAGCAAAATGAGGCTCTTGTAGCAGATTTACGATGTTTCGGCTTTCATGAGACATGCCGGAGATATTTTTTTCAGTTAGTTTTTTTTCAAAACTTTATCTTACACAGATATTGCTTTTCCGGGGGTAATAACCCCTTCCGAAAAAAATGAATAATAATAATTTTGGTCACTGAATCCACGGCACTGCTGTGCGCAATTGGCTGCCGCGTTTCGCCCACAAGATATACAGTCAATTCACTTTACAGTATATTGTGTGAAGACCTTTGAGACGTCTCGAAGACGTGATAAGGTGCTATATCAAATGCAAGGATTATTATTAATTATAAAACAAACACAGCCTGTTTTTTGCTCGGCCGATGACTTCTTAAAGCCTCTAAAGATTGTCACAGGTTGAAAGATGTTCCATGCAAGGTTAGATATTTTACAAAGTGGATGACTGTGGAAACTGAGGATTGACTACAGACAGTCATTGTGCATCTTAGAGCGTCACCAAACTAGAGGGCATACATTTTATACTTTGTGCTGTCAGATGCAAGATCCTTTCCACGTCTGCAGTGGTAATGACACGCGATCAATTTATGCTCTACAATTGCGAGACGTCAGAACTAATGGTTTTAGGAGTGGACAAACACTGAGCTCAACAAAACGCAAGTGGATTCACTTGACAGAGTCAACAGCGAAATTGTGTTTTTTATAAAATTGTATTTAAAAATAGCGCAGGCCAATTCTGACCTACCTCAGCATCCAGTAGTTTTAAACTGATTCCTTTAGCAAAAGCTGCGCTCTCCCTCTCTCTCTCTCCCTCTGCTCGCACGATTTACAGGGGAAGAATTGTTGCGGAAGGAGAAGTGATGATAAACGTACTCAAACATCGTAGAAATGTTTTCCTTACCTATCTGGTGAATTTTCAAATAGTGAGAGTCATACAGAGGCAGGTCTGCAGAGACTGGCCTGTCGAGCCTCCAAAGCAGTCACAGCTACTCTGCAGATATAATGTGCAGAGCTTTGTCAGTGACTGCTCCTCATTGCTTTGGAATTCTGCCCAATCAAGCAGGTTCAATACTGCTTCGGACACAAGCCACAGTAGGCTGATGATCCTCCAGGGCAGTGCTGGGGGTTTGGGGGTTGGGGAGGAAATGTACGCTGCACTGGAGATGCTGACCTTTGGATGAGATGTTAAACCCAGGTCATGTTTGTGCCTGTTCAGGTGGACGTTAAAGATCCCGTGGCATTATTTGAAAAGGGAAGGGAGTTTCTCCCGACGTCCTGGCCAACAATCACCCGTATAAAATCAGTCATTCACTTAATGGCTGTTAATAGGATATTACTGTGCACAAATTGGTTGCCACGTTCTTCTACAAATGCTGCTGTTTTCATGCCAACATCTTATATCACTGATGGTTACCTCTTCTACGCCTTTCCCTTCTCCCTTGCTTGGGGCCCGATCCTGTTATTTTGAAGTGCTCTCAGACACTATCCTGCATGAAGGGCGCTATATAAATGCAAATCTTTGTGGTTGAGATAAGAACAACTCTGACAAAATCTCTCGGGTTTATCGCACAGTGATCAGCGCTGTATTTCAATTGATCCTCGGGCTATTATTTTGAATTCTTGTGGGCCTCCACTGGTTGGCTTGGATGCGACAGTGATCTCTTATCTCTATCACAGTTGACAGACTATTATTGAGCCAATCTCCCTGTATCCTCTCCATCGCCGTTACCATTACCTGTATCTCGCTGAGGCCTCTCACTGGGACAAATCACAAGCCTTCTGTTTGAGTAGCCCTGTGGAGGGTGCGTTAAACTTTTCACATGCGATACAAAGTTTTGCCTCCGGGCAAATTAGTGCTCGTTTAATTAAAGTTATTCTGCATTTTGCTGATTCACTCCGGGTTGCTACCCCACATGAAGGGCAGTACATAAATGCAAGTTGCAGTTGTTGACGCAAGATTTTTTGGGGGGTGGGAGGGGAGTGGGTCGGTAACAAGACTGCTTTTTGAGTTGGATGAAAAGTAAAGGAGAAGCTGAGGTAAAGTTCAGTCTGGCTCAGTGTGATGGAATCAGGCCCCACGTTTGACTTTGGGAGCAGTTATAGATTCAGCGATGGCTTTTATGGCGAGTGCACGATCAATATTCACGGCACAAATGACAACACTGCCACTGAGCCTTATTTTTGCAGCAATGCTCGACCTGTTTAACAGGGATAAGTGATGCTGGACTGCAAAGCAATGTGCCAGAGTAGTCTGCTTCCTTAACGACTTATGTTCCGTGTCATTATTATCTCCCACCACCATGTGATGTGAAAAACAAAACATTATACATTCACCACAGGTACACCGTCTTACATAAATTTAAATAGCGGTGCAGTAAAGTCGATTTCAATGCTTCACCTTTCCCTGCTCGTTTGCTGTCTCTTTGGACAGTTTGCCATTCCTCTTGAATCCTAACATATGTTGATTCTGTTTGGCTATGGGACAGTTGAATGCTCTTTCCCTGGAGGAGCTTTGTGAGACTGCATAAATGATGAAGCAAGAGCAATTTATTCTGAACATTAAGCGGTCGCAAGAAAAATGGATAAGCTATTTTTAGTCCAACAGCTGTCAGCACGATGTAAATTCGCTGCAGGGAATCACATTCAGGGAGGGCTGTGGGGGGCAAAACGAACTCGATGTTAATTTCTGCAGATCGGTATTAACTTTAAGTTAAGTCGCAGAACAGTGTGAAAATGTGGTTGGGCAGGATAAGCTGTGCGCTGAGCTCATTTGATCTCCACAAAGCAGGAGCGGAGGTGCAACACATGTATATGTTACTGAAATACAAGGGAGTGGGCGAGGAATGAATGCAGTATTGTAACAATGCTTAAGTTTGATAATTCCCCCATTCATGTCGGGAGGACGCCTCAAAGCCCCTCACAAGACTGACCGCAAAGTGCAGTGACTGTGCATTTTGTAGGCAAACGTGGCACCCCAGTTTGCGTCACTGCAGAGATTTATTTAACTTCCGAACAACATCCTGTTTGCTGTTTAAAAAACAAAATGTATGCAGCGTTATGCCCTTTTCCTGCTTCGTGCCCTTACTGGTCAGTCAACCTGAGGAAATGTTTTGTTGTTTGAATGCTACCTTCATTAATTTATTCTGGTTGTGGTTTCTCCTGGGATCTGTCCTTCGGCTAAGACGTTAAACCGAGGTCCTATCTGCCTGTTCAGGTGGATGTTAAAGATCCCATGGCTCTGTTCGAAACTAGAAAGGAGTTTCTCCTGGTGCCCTGGCCAACAATCTCCCAAATAAAAAGTTAGGTCATTCACTTCATAGGCTGTTTGTGGGAAATTCCTGTGCACAATTGTGTGGCCACATTTGCCTATAAACACAGTCCGTACAAATACAGTCACTGCATTTAACAGTAAATCCTGCAAAGAGCTTTGAGACGTCCTTCTGGCGTGATAAGGCGCTATACCAAATGCAAGGATAATGTCTGGAATGACAATGAGTGCATTCAGCAGATGACTCACTGATGATTCAGCATACTGTTAGGTCGCAAACACTCCGCACCATTATTCCCACAAAGAGAGCTTAATAAAACCGAATTCGTTTTCTTACTGTCACGCAGACAACTGACTGATGTAATTTTCAAGCAGAACTCTGTCGCTTTCTCCGTCATTTAGACACTTTCAATTTACTGCTGTCATCTATAGAAGGCAATGGCTGTCAAGCATTCAAATACGTGATCTGACTTTCTTTGGAAGAAAGTTAGAAACAAAGGATATTCAAGAAAGTTTACTTCGAAGGGCTGTAAAGACCAGAATCGAACAGTGGTGCAATTTTAAGTTGTTTGGCCACAAGCCACACTGGGGGTTCAAGCCCTGTGTCTGGACTTACTGAGTTCACGGTCCATATTGACACTAGTCATTCACTTCATGGGACGT